CAGCCGTGTCACAGGAGACAAGGGAGCAGGGTGGCAGGCCGGGACAGGCAGAGGCCGCACCACGCACGGTCCCGTGGCCCTGCCAACATCACAGGTTTGGTGACAGCGACTGTCAGGGACGGCAGAGCCAATTCAAAGACCTCCGTTCGGCGCCCGCACCCGCCGCGCAGTGCTACCACGTCCACAAGGGCTCAGACGCCGCGCCCCCCCCTGACGGGCGCGGCGCGGAGTGCCTGCTGCTGCACATACACTACACCGGCGTCACGCCGAAGCTGAGGGTGAGTGGTGCAGCGCACACAAATTTGTAGCCCCCTTGGTCCAGATCTGGTCGGGCGGGTCTTTCTAGGCAAGCTATGTCCACCCGGCAGCGCAGGCCTTCCGCCCGCCTGCGCAGCCGACACGTCCTGCCACATGATCACTATGATGGGCAGCCGCGCTGACCCCCTCCCGCGTCCTTGCTTTGACTGCCCTGCTCTCGATTTCCACACCAACCCAGCATTGCTTTCACCCCATGACAACCATTTTATCATATTCGCAGGAGCTTTTGGTGCGCGAGGACGTGCTGCTGCTGGGTGTAAACATTGGTGAGGGGCAGGGGGCTTGACCGCGGCCCCGCTGCCCGTCCGTCGTCATCGCCAGCGGTGATGCTCGCGGCCGCGCTGAGCGCGCTGGCGGGCTGGGGAGCCTGAAGCCTTAGCAAGCAGGGGTGTCTGCGGCCGCCTTGGTATTGTCCACGGCAAACGCATGTGTTTTCCCGTTACGGACGACAGCGGGATGGCCCCTACAGATGACCATGAGGCCATTGTTTTGCACGTGGGTGCGGCACGCAGGCGGGGACGCCCTGAAGATGCGGCACGACTGGGGCGTCACCCCCGCCTCCTGCTCAGACATCAGCGACACGGCCAACGGTGGGGCGGGCAGCGGGGACGGGCGGCGCGCGGTCGTCCCCCTGCCGGCCTGCAGCCACCCGCTCGCGCGGCCAGGGGTTTAACATGAGTCACACAGCCTGCTTGTCGAAAAGCCCCATCCCATCGCGCCGGCTCTTGGCGGCGTGCAATGCCAATCCTCTGCCTTTTGCCACTTTGTTCCCGACCCACCTTCAGGGCGTGTCCTGGGTCACCTGCCGGGGATCGCCACAAGCGTCCTGGACACGCGGCGCTGGAGCCTGGCGAGTGAGGGCGGCGCCCGCGCTGCCGCCGTTGTTCCTTTTGCAGTGTTGAGCAGCCGCTGCGCCTGCACAGCGCCAGCTGCCAACAACACAGCGAGGTTTGCTCAGCACGGCGTGCGTGTGTGGGTTTGAAGCTGCTCTTTACAATTGACACAGGCTGCCGACCCCTCGGCGCCCATCCTTGTTCACCCAGGCCTGGCGGCCGAGGTTCTGCGAGTCAAGGTGCCCAAGCCCAGCCACATCCGCATGGGCAACTGGGAGGCGCGCCCGCTCAGCCGCGACCAGAGGGCGTACGCCGCGCTGGACGCGTTCTTGGGTGAGGGCCGCCCTGGCCGCGTCAAGGGAGGGGACAGGGGTACAAAAACGGGATGTCGTTGACATTCGGCTGCAGTGAGGGCGGCGAGGGGGCAGTGCGCTGCGCCGGCAAACGCTGGTGTCGTGCTGGGCTTAAACGTGGGCATGCAACGCTGGCTTTGGCAACCGCTTGCGCGTTGACGCCGCCCGATCGCAACGGCGACCGCAGGCCTGCAGCTGCACTGGGCGCTGTCTGCCCTGCCAAAGCGCGTGGGGCCCGAGCAGTTGCACATGGCGGCGCTCAGGGCGCGCGCGGCAGCGGCGAGGGCCACAGGGGCCGGCAGCTCAGGGGCGGCGGCGTGCGGGGCCGGCGCGAGTCCGGCGGCCGCGCTGGCGGCGCTGCCCTCAGCAGCAGACGCTGCGGCTGCGGGTTTGCGCGCGTGATTGCTGGGCATTGCTGGGCGTGATGCTGTGGTTAGCAGCCGGCAAAAGCGCAGTTTTGAGTAACATGCAGTTGTAACTAGCGGTTTGGCTTGGTGTGAGGGCGGCAGGGCAGGCAGCAGAGGAGCTCCAGCAGCACCCAGGTAATGTGGTGGTCAAATAGGCGGCGGGGCCCGGAGGGCTGATTGCGCTGAGGGCTCAAACCAAGCGCAGCCTACAGATGGGCAGCTGCTCATTGATGCGTCACCATTGTTTTGGACACTTGCGAACGTCCCGTGCATGCGGACCACTCGCAGTGAGGTCAGGCAACCACGAGCCGCCGTGGCGATAGCTGGTGCACCAGGACCGTTGTGGCGACCTGACTCTGCGCAGCTGCAAGCTGCCCAGAGCTGTTGATGCTCAACCGGCATGCCCCCTGGCCCCCATGTGTGAGCCGTTATAAGCAAGCATGTAAAACATCCAGCACCTGCATGGTCGTTGTCTTCCCCACAGCTGCACTACAAAAGAGGCCTGCAGACAGGCCCTGCACCGGGTAGCCTCCACGCCACACTTGTCGCTTCATGTGCCTTTGCAGAAGCGTTCCCTGAGGTATGATTGCTAGTATGCGCGCCAAGTAAAAGAGCACGCTGCTGCTGCTGCTGCTGCTGCTGCTGCTGCTGCTGCTGCTGCTGCTGCTACTGCTTGAATGTGTGGGTTATCATGTGAGAGGGAAAGCCACCGCTGTGATCATGGCAGGAAGCCGGACATGACCCAGGTCTTGTCCTCAGCCTCAGGCCAGGGTCAAGTGGCCAGGCTGGCCAAATGCCTGACGGCAGCACCTGCGTGGCTGAGTATCATCTGCCCACGCCCACCAGCAGACAGCGTCCGTACAGAAACGTGCGAGCCAGCTGTTGCCACAATGACTCTGCAGTGTGCCGCAGTGTCTTTGCCAGCGCGCTCACACGGGGGTCAGCATATGCAAGGGTGAGCGCCGGTCCGCCGCGGCTGCACGCTTCGTAATCAAGTCCGAACGCACAGTCCAAAGGCGGTCCGGTTGGAGGGGCGTCTGCATCACCCAGCCACAATCATATAAAGAATTCTACAGGATGGACTCGAATTGGGTGGAACGCAAGTCGGGCCGACAGTGAGCCAAGTGCCGTGCCCTCATGGTGGAGTCTGCGGCGCATGGTCCGCCACAGTCCTCACGCCCTAGCTCCCACTGCTGTGATAGGCGATACGCACAGCGCTAGCCTTGCACGAGAAAGTTGATATTCTTTGAGAAGTTTTATGTGTACTTGATGGCAGCAACACAGCCATATGGACCTCCACCGGGCTCAATGCAGGGAGTCATCGCAAGCGACGGCTGCTCGTGCCCTGAGTCATGCCTCGAAAACATGAGCACAGCTTGCCGTGTGCCGCCTATAGCCACGGAGAATCGACTCTCGAGCTTTATACCATTATTAACTCGGTCCATGGAGCGCCACGCAGTCCGGACACACCCCTCCCGTGACAAAGGGCCACCTTGCCGGTGTGACGAAGCGTGGTCAGAATCCGGGGTGCGAGAAGTTTGGTGAGAGCCGCAATGAGTATAAAACGCGTACCAATATCTATCATTTCTATTCCACCACCTCCACCCACGCCTACCCACTCAAACAGTCCATCGCTCCCGCTCTTCAGGTGGGCCACGATCGTCCGGGATGTTGCATGATTGAAGCAAGTGTTTGAGCGTTAGATCAGGGGTATCTCATTGAACACCAACGCGTCCAGCCTCCCCAGGCCGCGCC